TTTAGTACTATTATATAAATAATTATTAGGAATCAGGGACGGTTTCTCCATTGGTTCATTTGTGCAGTGAACACCCAGTTAAATTTCATAAAAACACATTATTTTAAAATTACATAAATAACATAAAAATATAAATTTAATTTTAATATTTTTATTTTCATACGTGTTAATCTATATTTTTTGGTACATCATTGTCCTCTGGATGATTGCATCTCTGTGGCACAGTATACCTAAGTATACTGTGTGTGTGGCGCATTATGATGAGTGAGCCTAACACAAGTGAGACGATATATGGTGAATGCATATAGCTAAAAAGAGAAGAAAACACGCCAACAGATTCTTCAAACTGTCAAAGAACACATTAATTGGCGCGCTGCTCACAAACAAGGTTGCCAAACCAGTGTTGCCAGTCTAGTACAATTCACAATTGTACTAGATGTAGTACATTCTGCGTGGTCACGTGTAAAATATATATTTATATATATTGTGTTCCTTGTTTGGGTTCGTTATCAATAAAGACCTCCAATTTTCCCCTTCAATGAATTAGATGTCACTGCAAATAGAATTCGAAAAATCTGATACACTTAAGGAATCTGATACATTTTTTAGACAAATCTGGTACACAACAAAAACATATTCTGGCAACACTGTACCAATTAAAACAAACTGTCATTTCGTTTTCCATCATTATGAAACGGTTTTAATAAAATTAAGATTATTTTATTATTTTTGATCATTTAAAAAAAATGTATTTAATTGAGAACTGCAACTATAATAAATTGGAAGGATGTATGTTAATTTAACGATTGTTCTTGAAAAAAACAAGGTAAATAATGTTGTTTACATATAATAAAGATTTACGACTGTAATTTGTTTTATATTTTGTTTCAGTGCCTAAGACCATCCAAAGACTAACTCAAAATAGTCTATTTTGTACCCAATTGTCAATACTATGAAGTAAGAAGTAAGCAAACAATTTTTTTTCCCACAAAACCCGCTAAAAGGAAAAATTTTATTATTCTGATGGGGTAACTACTGGAAATGGAAATGTACAATAAAAATTTGATAAAGGTAAAGAGACAAATGAGAAATTTTACCTAAAAAATGGTATGTACATTTAAATAGTTTGCTTGCAATTAACAATCGTGTTATCCTCTAACCAAGATCGTTTGTTGCATACAAACCAGAATTCTTTTATTTTAATGACATTTTTTTATTGCCTTGTTTGTATAATTTAGTATTTTCAAAAATATTAGATGTTATGGTAATTTAAATCACTACAGGTATTAAATAAAAATTAGGCTATTGGTAAATCAGTTTACAGTTGGTAATAAAGAATGTCTCGAAACAAATCTCGAAATAAGTATTGAACATAAATTGTGATTTTGATTAGGCACTTAACAAGTCACATCCCACATATCTACATGCTCTGGCTAATCAATCCTATAAGTACATATCAAAACGTCAATATTCTATCTACAATTAAACAATAATTTTAAAATACAGATTAAGTCGATTTACCTATTTAAACAAAATTACCATTATTCTGTTTATTAAAACACATTATTTTTTAGTAAACTTGGACATGCAAAAGCAGCCATGAGGGTAGGACATTAGTGAGTGCAAGAATACTTTGGAATGTGCTGTGAAATACACTATGGAGAATTAAGTATGATTACATTTTACGATATGTATCTCACTAGTTTAGTTCACAGATTTCTGTGTTCAATTATGTGCTGCTATTTCAAACTTTTAGTATCCTTTGATAAAAGAAGTTGAATATTATTGTTGACCTTTTTAAATTGTTTATTTTACCTTATACATTTTTTTCTACTCTTCATACAGTATTTTGTGAAGAGTATTATAGGTTTACTTTGTCTGTCTGTCTGTCCAATGTCATGTTTTTTGTCTGCACGATAAGTTAAAAACGAGAA